CAAAGATATAAAGATATATATAAATATATATTATTCAGATGGATTACACCTTTTTTTGGGGTTCGATTACGCTTTTAATGACACGTTAACCTCCATATCTAAACAAATCTTTCCAAATTAATCCAAAGAAATTGGCTAATACATCCATATTTGACAAAATATAACGGCCCCATATACAGCCATGTACACTGTAATTAGGGCCTCCAAGAATATCACTGAGTGGAACGAATCATTCAAAAAAAAAATTAATTAATTAATTATACAGCGTTTGAATCAATCCTTAGCTTAAATCATAAATAATAATAAATGTTGGAAAATTACGACAAATAATCCATATGATTTATTGATCTTGATTTATCACCTTCCCACTCCTTTCGTTTCTCCCCACATAATTATGGCCTCGCCAATAAGCTTGATGGGGTTCCTTGACAGTAACATTAATTATCTTTTTCTGCAACAGAAATTCCTAAATGTTAATTAGATTTATTTAGATCAACCAAGGAATCTTTTATTTTCATATTCTTCCATCCTTAATCCTTAATCCTTAATATAAGACCTGATTATTAAGTTAATTTTAGTTCTAAATATAAGACCTATTTCTTATATTTATCAATTTTTTCTAGATTATCTCTATGGATACTCCCTCAACCATAATCAAGTAAATGAGGGAGGAAGGATATTAAGAAAGATGATTATGGTGTTTTAGAAAAAGCATATCATATTTTTTATAATTAACTAACTTACCTAACTTTCTTAACCTAATTAAATTAGTTAAATAGGTCTTATATTAAGAATAAAAAGAGCATTGTGGAATTGTGAATATTGATTAGTAGTCTTGACAAGGGACAAGCTAAGACACGCACATCAAAGAAATCCAATTACTACAATTATAAGTATAATTTAATATGGGAACAAGCTATATAATGACACGTATGACTGGTTCCCCTTTTTAAATTTGCTTTTTAATGACCGTTCAAATCCAACCCATCAAATTTTTATTGACCAGAACAACGCGACGTCCATCCTTTTGGAGGGGGGCAAACATGGTTGTCTGCCTCATTACGATTAGTTAAATTATTAATATTTTTGGGTGTGTGGTTCATGCATCAAAATTTGTCACTAGTAATTTCGACCAACGATTTATTTAAATATTTTATTTATACATATCGCTTTTTAGGAATGATTAGCCTCGCCACACATTTAATTTCACTTTCAATTAAAATTGAAGATACCATGTCATATCGGAAAACGATGTCATTAATCAATCCATTATTAATTAATTAATCAGATATGTTTAAAAAAAGATAAACCAGTAGATATTTTAGTGGGACGATCACTTACACATGGCATGCCTTCTCCGGGATCGTAACATATGAATCGAACTATTCCTTTAATCAAACAACTGAGGCTGGGCTGGAAAGAGAATAAAATTTTTTTAGTTCTATTTATTATTATTTATTATTACCTTGATTTTATTCTCATAAGTATAATATACACTCCTTCGGATTCAAAATATAAGCTAAACCTTATTAGAGACGGTTGTTTTTTTGGTGAGATAATATTCACTTTTGTTTAACTATTTAATGAGTTTTTTCTAATTTTATCCCCCATACATTGTTTTTCTTCTTTGATTCATTTATTACATCTTTTATTTATTTATTTCATTAATAAGGGCATATCTGGAAAAAAAATACATGGCTTACATATTTATTGTTTCAAACTAATTTTAATTAGTTTCTTGATAAATGTAAATGGATAAAGTTTAGCTTATATTTTGAATCGGATAGAATATTAAATAGAGATAAAATGAAAAGTTATTGAATTTTAAATTAGAGTTAATGAAATTTAAGATTTTTTCGGTTTGTTTGAAATATATTAAAAGTGACTTATAAATAGAATCAGAGGTTACAATGTATACAATAAAAAACTGCAAAGTATTAAAGAATTATTATTAGTATTATCTTGATGAACTGTGAAGTTATCGGCGATGGTTTTAACCTAATTTTTATTGTTCAGGCTGAGGGTATGTGTTTGACTCCATGTGGGCTTTACTGGTGACTGATAATTTATTATTATGGCATAAGTTACGTTCGTTAATGATAATTAAAATAATTAAGAGGGAGGCGGGCGATATAGTAATGTGATTACGTGGAGTTTATTATGGGGACAGGTGTCAGGTGGCGAGGAAATTGGAGAAATGTGGGGGCCAATTTCGGGATTATAATAATTGGGGGGTGATATTATTATTATTATTTGCAATTGGACGGCTTTAATTTATGGAAATTGCAAAAGCGGTGTTGGGCTTGGAGGGGGGTGTGTAACACAAGCACTTTCGGTTCAACGCAGATAGTGGCCACGTGTCGAGGAGGCAGTAATGGGGAGCTCAGATATTCTGCAAGCGTCAATCGGTTTGGACATGCGGTCCCACACGTGTCCAAATCTCGCTTGTTACGACGATCGCTTTCATTGGACAACTGGAGCGGGCGGAATAAAGCGAACTCTCTCCCCCCTCTCGCCACGCTCCTCATTTCCTCTGTTTTTTATTTTTAAAAATATAAGCATAATTAAGAAAGGACAGGTGTAGAGAGAGGAAGGACACATGGAGGGGTTGGATCCCAACCCATCAAATGCCACCTCGCTTTTTTCATGATCACCGCGATGGGGACTCTCTGGCTACTCATTCCCATATCAAATACTCGTCTCTTTTTGCAAAAAAAAAAAAAAAGGTATTAGTCTATAATGCAAATTATTTGGTGAGTTATTAATTCAATATTTTTTTAGATATTATTTCTATTACAATTTATTTGGAGAAGACTTCAAGAGTTACTACAATGTTTCTTTAATACCCTCTGAAATATCTTTTTTTGGCCAAATATGTGCTCTTAAATATCTACACCCTTAAAAAAATATGCTACATTCCCTTTTTAATATAAAAGTTAATTGTTGATTCAATATATCTTAAACATAAGATCTTAATATGTTTTGTTTTTAATATTTATCGATTTTACTCTTAAATAATTCTTATAATGACTTTATGTGTTGACAATTTTTCATTAATTCCTATAATGATTTTATATGTTAAGAATTTTTCATTAAACAGTAATTTCAATGAACATGATTAATAGAGATACTCCATCTGATCTTATGAGCTTTAATTTTTGAGAGGGGTGTGATTTATTTTAAAAGTCTCAATTTGGGGCTTATCTTAACATTTAATATATTTTTTCTTGATTTTGCCTTTAATTATCCATTCTCTCTCTTTTATCATACTCTCTTTCATCACATTTTCATATACATTCTCTTTCACTAATTTTCCCATTTATTATAAGAATATATTTAGAAATAAAATTATATTTCTAATCTATTTATTGCTTTTAACTAATTTTAATTAATTATTTATTATCCATGAATTAATTATTTGAAATTTATAATAAGGACTGAAGGAAGTATTTTTTGAGGAAGACAATATTTATGTACTATAAACAACGAGGTTATGAAGAGTAACAGAAGATAGGTGAAAGGGAGTATAAGGTGATGAACACTTTAAACTTATCAAATTTAGATCATTTATATCTTATTTGAATGGTCAGGATTTGGTTTTTTTATTTGTTTGGAATAATTATTTTAATATGAGTGAAATCTAAAATAAAAATAATTTCTTAACTATAACTTAAAAAAATAATTTTTCTACTTCAAATAATTAATGAAAGATTTCAAATTTAGACTGTTCACACTAGATATAAATAGTTTAGAATGATAAGCAATGAACCTGGTTCAATATAAGGCACATGGATGGGGAAGATGAAACAAGATACTAACTCCTGCAAACTCAGCCACCCAATTTCTTCGGGAGGGGAACTCCCAGGTTCTTCATTATTTTGAACACCACAGATGATCGAATATACTACCTCCGGTTCTTAATATAAGACCCCGTTTGACTTTTAGTTTGGTCCTAATTATAAGACCCCAATCCATTTTGTCTCTCATATTTATGCATTTTTTTCTAAGATAGTCCTTCTAATAATGATAGTTCTAATCAACACACTTAATTAGCAAGGATATTTTAGGAATGACAATACTTATTTGTTACAAATAACTAACTTAACTTACTTCCTTAATCTCCTCAAATTAGTCAACTGGGTCTTATAATTAGGACCGGAGGTAGTATATAGTTGTATGATGTCGATTTATCAAACCCCCTTGGACTAGGAGAGCACGTCGTTGATTTAGCAATATTTGGGTCTTAATAATATCTTCTCTGGTATTTCCGGTGACTATATGATGATTTCTTATTCTTTTTGGGTCATCACTCATCAGTGTATTATATATGAATCCTCAGTATGTTTTCTTAACAAACATCTACAGCAAAATCTCTCGACAAGCGCCACGTATACCTGCTATCGTTTTAAAAATCTTTAAAATGTCAACAGAACTGGCAACCCCGAAAAAAAAGAAACTCAAGGCGCGTGTTCTGTTTATCCACGGAATTGAACGTGGAGACCAGAATCAAACAGGAATCTCGTATTTTACGATCGTGCCACGTGGTGACATCTTCGGACGAGTGTCATAAGAGACCTTTAATTAAAAAAAAAAGAAAAGAAAAACCCCACAGGAAAATGAAAAATTGCGCGCGAGCGAGAGAGAGAGAGAGAGAAACGATTGTTGGGAGTGAGAGAGGCGGGGTCGTCTTGAGGACCACATGCGTGTCAGAAAAGGAAGAACATTTCAATCTAGCGTGGTGGAAAATCATTGGGCCACGTACCCCGTACCCGAAAAAGCACTACACGTGGTTGAATTTCAATCAGATTGCGATGCCACGGACGGTGCAGATTGCATCTTGGTATTCAATCGTTCGACGTCATACCAACTGTATCTGTCGGATCATGCCCGTGACGGTGACGGGCAGCCTGCCCGTGATGAAATGTGGCCCCAGGTGAATTTGCTCCCCCCTCCGCCCCTCCCACTAGAAAAGCTTCCCCCCACCCCGTTTCAATCGGTCCTTCCATCCTGCTCTCAACGGATCTCCTCCTCTCTTAATTCTCTCGGCCTACTTTGCCTTTTCGCTTTTTAATTTTGCTGCTGCTTCTGTGTCTGATTTAGCTGTGAAAGATTTTTGGTTGTTTGGGCTCGGAATTTTGTGTTTCTTCTTCTTGATTGATCTGTTTGGTGAGTTCTTTTTTTGTGATGGCTGGGATATGCTGTGGTGTTGTTGGAGAAGGGGAGACTCCGACTCCGATTGAGCCGGGACGACCTTCTCGGAGACGGAGGTTGGATATAATGCCCTTGAAGCTTATGGCTGACATGGCCGTGCTGCCGCCTGACACTTGCCTGAAGCGCCAAAAGCTGGATCTCTGTGCTAATTCTCCGCCGCAACCAAGAGACTGCGTAAACGCAGTTGAGAATTGTGAATCTGGTGGTGTTAAGACGGTAGAGGAAGAAAACAGGAAGGAACAGAAAGGGGACGAAGCTGTGTCGACGGTTACTTCTTTAAATTCAACTGCTACAAAAGATTGTGATAATGAGGATATTCGTGAGTGTCCAAAGTTTGGGGTTACATCGGTTTGTGGTAGAAGGAGGGATATGGAAGACGCGGTTTCAGTTCGTCCGTCGTTCTGCCAAGAACAGGGTCAAAATACAAACGAGTTTCATTACTTCGGTGTGTTCGACGGCCATGGTTGCTCTCATGTAAATTCTTTGATCCGTCGTAAATTGACTAGCTCTTCTTGTTTAAGTAGTTGATCCATCTGGTTCTTAGCTTGGTCTCGTTTATTTGTACAGGTAGCGACGATCTGTAAGGATAGGTTGCATGAGATTGTGAAGGAAGAGGTCGGCGGAGCACGAGAGGATTTGGAGTGGAAGTCTATGATGGAACAGAGTTTCGCTCGGATGGACGAGGAGGTGCAGAACTGGAGCCAAAGCAACCAGAACTCCACTTGTAGGTGCGAGCTACAGTCGCCTCACTGCGACGCCGTTGGATCTACCGCGGTTGTTGCTGTCGTTACGCCGGACAAGATCATTGTCTCCAACTGTGGCGACTCCCGCGCTGTTCTCTGCCGTAACGGCGTCGCCGTCCCCCTGTCGTCCGATCACAAGGTGGGTATTAATTTCTTCGAGAAACAAAACGGAAATAGAAGTGAGGTTAATCATTGGATTCTTCTTCGATATTTAATTCCCCCGGTGACGGGCCGGGATTCGGAAACTTGAACTGTGTTATTGCAAACCGATGTGTTGGCGCGTCATAGCACGCTCAAATCTTCTGGTTTATTGGTGTTTTTTTTTTTGGGCGTCCATCACACTTTGTTAAAATCCCGTGCTAACTTTGCTGATATCCTTTTTCGCAGCCCGACCGACCTGACGAGTTGCTTCGAGTTCAAGCCGCCGGAGGACGGGTCATTTATTGGGACGGTCCTAGGGTTCTCGGAGTTTTGGCAATGTCCAGAGCCATAGGTGAGCGAGTTTACCCTTTACCTTAGTGGCATAGATCGGTGCAATTTGGTACAACTCTCTTTGAATTTCGGGTTAACCAAACTCTTATGTGCAGGCGACAATTATCTTAAACCTTACGTTATATCGGAGCCGGAGGTGACGGTGACGGAGCGCACAGATGAGGACGAGTGTTTGATACTTGCAAGCGACGGCCTGTGGGACGTGGTGTCAAACGACACCGCATGCGGGGTGGTGCGGATGTGCCTGAAGGTGCAGAAACCGCCGTCACCGCCAGGATCGCCGGGAAGCGACATGGCGGTGTACTCCGCGGCAGATGGGTCGGACAAGGCATGTTCGGACGCATCCATTTTGCTGACGAAGTTGGCTTTGGCCCGGCATAGTACGGACAATGTGAGCGTCGTGGTGGTGGATTTGAGGAAAGAGAAACCACAATGTAACTCCGACGAGGCGAACAATAATTAAAACAAATCAAAATAATGGAGGACATGAACGACGAAAAGGATAGCTAATCAAACCCACCTGGCCACTTCCCTTTTTCTCTCTTCATCGGAATGGAAAGCAAAGCAAAAAAGGGGAGGATGGGGTCAGGCTTCTACGTTTGATTCATCGGAAATTGTAGGCTGAAAGAGAGGAGAGAATTGGGACCAGAAGGAGAATGATAATTGAGTATGAAGATGAAGATAAGAAATTGCTCAAAATTGTAACATTCGGAGAAAGAAACAAATTATTATAGGAAAATCGTAGGTTAGTCAAAATCAAAGTGTCAACAAAGCCTTGAAAATGGAGGGCTTGACACACCTTTATTTGTCCATATATATATATGAGCTCTATATAATTAGATTTTCTCTGCAAAATCTGGGTTTTTTTTTTTTTTTTGCTTTTGAATGAAGGTTTAACATGTCTCTTTTTATAGCAGACGCCAAATATCGTTCCCCCCCCCCCCCAACATACCTTGTGCTTGATCAGTGCTTCTCTGGTTAATTTCAAAGTTCCCAGTTGAGAGCTGCAAATTCTTGTTATCCGTGTCTCCGAATGTTTGTGGGAGCTTTTTGCAGATTTTCTATAGTTTCAGGGTGGGATGAATCATGATAAATATTGATTTTTTTGGTTTTTTCAGTTGAAAAGATTGTGGCGATGAAGACTTTTAACCTTTTGGAACTTTTAGAAAATAAAAGAAACATAAACAACAAAAAACTATTTTTGGGAGTAATTTTCGAAATTGTCATGTGGAGGGGCCATGTGACAGCAGGCAAGAAAACAAAAGCAAGTATCCTGCTCCTGGGCACACCGCCAGCGCAATCTCATGTACAGTACTTTTCATGTACGTGAACCTGTACCCATATATGGCAAAGAAAAAAGGAAAAAAAAATTCTAAATATATTGTTACCCCCCAAGGACTAATCCTTAAAATAAATAATAAGAGCTAAATAACAAAATGTGTCCTATTTTTGTAAATTGTTATTTAATTATATGTGCTAAAATTATCTGTTAATTGAGAGTCTTCTTAATATGTGTACTTAATAGACACATTTTGAGAAAAGGAATTATAAATTTAAAAAGAAAAGTTTATTATTGGGGTCTTTTTTTTTTTAATGATCAAATTAAATCTCTCGTCTTGTGCGCATATTTAGGACAAGAGGTTGTAATGTTATTGTTAAATAACAAAATACAAACATAACACTGGATTTATCTTAAGTTTATCGGACCTCTTATTAATACGCAAATTTTTCTCTTTTTTTTTTTGGGTTTAAGAATACTCAAATTTTTCTGTAGGGCAACACGGTATGATAATATAGTTATAGCAAGTTTATATATGTATTGATATTCTAGTTATCAAAAAATTATGGCATGCTATTTATTTTGAATACTGGAATTTAAATGACGAGAGACTCACGAGAGGCGTGGCTTCAAAATGTTCACAAAATTTATTTTTTTAAAATTAAAATTTAAGAGTTCAGATTTAAAAATTTTATTCGAGTTGAAATATTTAAAACTTTTTTGGGACTCTAATTCCTTATGTTATTTGCTTTGTTCTCTTTGGTTGGAAGAAGAGGTAATGGCGGGAGCAGGGGTCACATATCCTGCTGGAAGATAGACATAAAATTTGATGCCGAAACTCTTTAGTTGGGGACCCTCTTTAAGTTTTGTGGCATATCCATAAATATAAGTACTATTATTATTTTCTGTTTTTGTTTTAATTTAGTTTTTCCTTTTTCTTTCTGACTTATTACAAATATTTATATTTAAAAAAATAACAAAATAACGTGTGATCCAAAATCAACCTACTCACTCTGTCTGTATTGCATAGATAATACGACTCATTACAATTTTTAGGAGTAAATTACCAACATTTTTTAATTTAAGAATAAAAACAAATTAGATGGCATTCTCTTGAATGTTTTAAAACTGCATCCGCACTTCTTCCACTTTTAGAAGTCATCAATTTCTAGGCATCAAACATATATTCTTATTTATTTCAAAGAAGTATATTTGTATGTATTTTTTAAAATAAATAATAGTTTTAATAAAAAATAAATAAAACCAGCGCTTACATAATTTAATAAAACAAATTCACATCCAAATATAGGGTTCTTGTTCTGGGAACACACAAATGTGGAGGCCCTAAGATTCCCCAAAGAAGGGCTCACGTCCCAGCGAGTGTCCCCACAGATGGAAAGAGGAGGACACGTGGCAATTGGTATTCCTTTTAGTGTCACCATCTCTTAGCTGGCCTCTAAGATTTCCCCAGATTTTATGCTTCTTCCCTCTGGCCCCACCTCCTCCATATATTTTCCGTTTATTTTATAGGATTTTATTCAATTTGAGTATTACGAAATTTAATTGAAGAGAATTTTATTAAAAATGTTTTCTACTTTACATGCAGATTTAAACATAAAACCTCGTATTTAAATAGTCATCAGTCATAACTCATTTCATTAATATTATCTCTGATCCTTAATGTTTATAGTTCATATTTTTTACGGTTTTTTTTTACCCAATTGATATTAAGCATCTTTTTAAACCTGAAATTGGGTATTCCATTTTCTTATGAATATGATATATACCTGAGTTTTTTTTTATTAGGTAAAAGATTTTAAAAAATTTCATCAACCAAATTCCACTATTTGCCTTAATTTGCGTTGTTCCCAACGTCCATGGTCTTTCTCCCATTGGAAATCACTACCATGTGTTTGATGGGGCCGCCTATTCTTTTCACCATTTCAAAAAAAAAAAAAATCAAAATTGTTAAATTCAATTTTTTCCACATGTCATATGAAACGAAATGAGATATCAATGCATGATTAAAAAAAATGTGTATAACTTTTTTAACGTCAATTTTAATTTATGAAGAGATTATTTGAGGTGACATGGATAATGATGGCCTAAAAAAATAAAGTTAAAAAAAGGGGCACGTAACCCAGATAATGAAAGTAGTGTGATACACACACACATAAGCAGTGGGGTGATAATTACAGCAGAAAAAAAAGGGGGGGGGGCTGATATTTAGTGCATAAATCCATTAAAAAGCTAATTCAATTTCTTTTGGGGGGCAAAAAGAAAATAGAAGAAGAAGCAATTGGGGCAGAATTATGAGAGAAGATCCTTTGGATGACAAAATCAGACAGAAGTGGGTGGACCTTGTCCCACAAAATAATCTCATCAGAATACTAATATATATATATATATATATATTCTCATTAATTCAACATGTCCATATGTCTATATGTTATGCCATCTCATAGGTCTAATCGGGCGTAATTTCCTCCATTGGGAGCACTTTTTTGAAAATATCAATATTCATAGATTTCTCTTAGTCCAAAGTTATGGACATGAACCTTACGTGTAAAACTTTCCTTAAGGCTATAACTTTTGGTCCATTTTAGAGAAAATGGGGAAACACAAACTTGTGTAAAATTCAGTATTTTACTCGCTATAGAATAGTACATCATTGTTGTCAAATCGATGGCAACAAATGTACCAATAGTCGCACAACTTGGTTGGATGTTACTCAAAATCATGATTTAGATAACATGACATCTAAACAGGTGTTTAGAGCTGAAACTATGATTTAGGCTGGTAAAATTATGGTTTGATGATAAGTGAAAAATTGTCTGACAGTTGATTAGAGTGATAATAGGAAGTATAGAGGAGCCAACGGTTTTATTTGATAAAAAACACCCTTATTTCAGCCGACTCAAAATCGCTAGCTGATAATTTCATCTTCTCTAAAAATATTTTTACTCTTATATTTTATAAATATATATACACGTAACAACAATTAATTAATTAATTATATTAAAGATCGAAGGTAATATGTTGTTACAAAAACTAGTTATGAAAAAATATTATAAGATTTTATGTTTAAATCTTTAAAGAAAATTAGTAGTTTTTTGTTGGAGAAAAAAATCATTTTTCTTTAAACATATTTAATCTTATGTTTTATAAATATATATACATTAATTATTTATTAATTATATTTTCTTATATATTATTAATTATGTTGGTAAAAAATATATTATCAACAAATTTATTTCTTCAAATTCAAAGATATTATAAAATCTATCTTTTATATAATTATCATATTAACCTATATTCTTTTTAGTAATTTATACATGCAAAAAGTACTTCTGATAACAACTATCCAAACACTTTTATTTTTTTAAAATTATTTTTTTATAAAATCTATTATTCTAAGAATCTATTCTTCAGAAGCTATTATCTAAATCATAGTTTGGTTTCATCCAAAGGCAATATGATGAAACCATGGTTTTGGGTTCAAAATCATGGTTTCAGGAGAAATGAATTCATTCTGCTTCTGGCTTAAATTAAAAAATATGATTGTGCTTGTCATAGTAGATCTCAATGATAGTATGATTTTAACACCTCTCAATTATTTTTTTATAAACATATTTAATCTTATATTTTATAAATAGATACACATATTAATTATATTATCTTATATATTATTAATTATATTGGTAAAAATATATTATTAACAATTTTATTCCTCCAAATTAAAATATATTATAAAATCTATCTTTTATATAATTATCATATTAATTTATGCTTTTTTTAGTAATTTGCACATATAAAAAGTATTTCTGATAACAATTATCCAAACACTTTCATTTTATCAGAATCATTTTTTTTACAAAATCTATTCTCCTAAGAATCTATTCTCCAGAAGCTATTTTCCAAACCATGGTTTGGTTTCATCCAAACACCCTCTTAATCTCACTTAATTTCAAACTGTTAGTACTTGTTCCTTTTGATTTGAAATAAAAAATATAGTTGCGCTAACTTAATTAAGAGTTTTGATTTGGATACTTGTATATGTAATTATATTAAATAATCCTCTAATCCTATTTATAAAACACTTCTAACATGTTTTATACAGACTAAAAAAAATCTTAAAATACATTAACTCTCCGTTAAAATATAATAATTTTTCAACTTTATCTATATTTAATATATACACTTTTCAAAAGAAATAACTATAATGAAAGACAAAATATTATACTAATGATGAAAATTTAATAAAATGACTTATAAATAGGATAAAAAAACTTTCTCTCTCTGTCTTATAAATATGACTAGTAAAGTACTTGTTAGAGGAGCTTTATTGCTCTCAGGTCTTTTTTGACTCAACCCAAATTAATTGGTAGCTAGTCATCCTATTTATTCCGGAGATCACAAATTTAATCTCATTTAATTTCAAGCTGCTAGTACTTGTCATTTTGATTTGAAATAAAAAAAAACTATAGTTGTGCTAACTCAATTAAGAGTTTTGATATCGAAGCTCTATGTAATGCATTAAAATTTTTTTCAATTATTATTAAATGAATCTCATTGCATATATAGAAGCAAGCTGTCACCTTCTGAAAAAAGACTTTACATGAGAGGCCACTGAGCTTGGAAACAAAATAACGACTCTTAACTATTGGTTTAATATAACTTTAGAGCTTCACTTGATGTCTCCAAAAAGAAAAATAAATGATGTTTTTACTTTGATGTGATAGAATTCAAGCAGATTAAGGTGTTCATCAAGTTAAGTACACGAATCAAGCCCCTTCTCATCAATTTTTCAGCCATCCATGGCCACACAACAACAACAGCAATAATAATAATAATAAGATAAGCATTATTTCTCAATTCAATAATTTCATATCCTATCGTCTACACCTAAGTGCTCTCTTTCCCAAATGTCCCAATCAACCCCCACAAAATGCATAGCAAAGCTTTTATTTGATGCAACTTTGAAGATTCTGAATTTCGAATTTTCTGACGAAAATTAAATGCTTATATTTTTTTGGCATACAAAATGCTTATTTTTTATATAATTAGATGTACATATCCACGTATCATTATTTTCCCCCAAAGAGATGAAGTGAAAAGGTCAAAAGAAGAGGAAACAATTGAACATGTATTGATTCCCAAAGTTCTGCAGCGCCACAAATTCGTTCAGCCATAATTTTTCCAAAGTGTTCTGTTGAAATTAATTAATATATGAGCTGCTTAATTAATTTGAGTAAATTAAAAAAGTCAAATAAATTAGTTAGTTACAACAGATATGATATAACCCCAAAATGCTTATGTAATATTACATTATGCATCGGTTAATTAAGTAAATTAGTTTGTGAAAAATAAATAGGAGGGACAAAATAAATTAAAATATTATATTTAAAACTATATTTAACTTTCAACTAGCTTTTATATTAGGCATTAAAAAGAGCATATTATGATTCTAAGAAAAAAAATTAAAAACTACCACTCTATTCCTTATTATAAGTCACTTGTACTCCAAAAGTTTATTTCAAAATATAAGTCACTTGTAGTATAATTAATTATCTTTTTCCAATTTTACTCCTATTAATTTAATAAAAATTAATTAATCTCTCTCTCAACTTTTCATTTCCTATGCAATCCATCCCCTACCTCCCTCCCTCCCTCTACTTTTAATAAGGATAAATATGAAAAAAAACAGGTTAATTTATTTTTTAGTTTACGGGTTTGAAATACAAGTGACTTATAATAAGAAACAGAGTGATACTAATGACAAGCTGCCTCACTAACTATGCTATTTGTCTCGTTTGGATGAGTTGCTAATTTCATTACTTTCTTCATGGTGGGTGTGTCATAGAGATTATCCATTAGGAATAATGTTGTGAGCAACGGTTGGGGAATAATAATTGAAAGACAATATATTCATTATATATTCATTTAAGAAAAGAAAGAAGTAGAGATGATTATGTTTCAAGCTTCAACAGATTGAAACCATTTGAGGAACCATGTATTTATGAGCAGAATCAGATTCTATAAATGTCAAACACAAGCCTCTCTGCTCCACCCTACACGTTTCCATTTTTCGTTATTTGAGAAGATCCCATGGCATTTCTCATGATTCTGTTCCTTTCATTTTAACAATTACTTGAACATTAAAAAAAAAAGGTCATAAATTAAAAGAAAACTTTTTTTATTAGCATTAAATCAGTCAAAGTTAACTTTTGCTTGCAGTATTGTGCATTTCAGCATTTTTATTCCATCCAATCACTCATGTAGTTTTATTGTTGTCATAAATACTTATATTTTTAAATGTTAGTATTTTGAAATGCACTTCTGCTTTAATTGTAGCACGCAGGTCCGTACATAGTTTTTAAATATCTATTTTTTGAAAAAAAAAAACTAACTTGTAAGGACCATGGGCTTTTTTCCTCTCATCAAAAAGGAGCATGGGCCTATGGTTGCAGCCCAGTGGGCTGCGTTTTATTTTTTGACAGAGCCTTGTACTCCATCGTCACAATAGTCGTAGAGCCGTGTTCTCATTTATTTGACTTTATAAATTAAATTCCTGAAACGAAATAAAATTACTCAATTATTAGCATATTCCTCAAGCACAATGATGCTCGACGGTATGATTACCCAGATAACGTACATATTCTTATGTCTCAGCAGATTTCTTTAGCGTGATTTCTCCAAATTGTTTCCATTGGATTCTTTTCACGTTCAAGCCAAGGAACAACATAAAAATTAAAATGTCAAGTTCAACAACAAACTAGCAATGAGCCAGCATTTGAATTAAGCGATATTGTTCACTCATCAGCAAAATCATAAAAGGTTATCAATCTAATCAATAATATGGATTGCTGATTCCCGACTTGCAAGCAAGTCACCAGTTTATTGGATCCTCTGCCTCCATATCTGCTGGCGTTGAGGTGCCTGCACATGTCCTCTAGCAGTGTTACTGGAGGATGTTTCTTGATTTGTGCGCACAAAATGGTGGTTGCTTTGTGGGGGTCTCGGCGCCATGGCTCTTGGCGGTGGTCCACGTGGCCGGGTAGAATAATGATTGTGCGGCGGGGTTTGTGGCCGGATTGAATTATGGTGGTAGTACCCACCATTGTAACCTGGCTTGCCAGAAACTCCCATAAAATGGGACACATGCGGTTGTGCTAATTCCCTTATCAGAAAACCACGAGTTGCATTCCCAGAAGTAAGGTTGCTGTGTGTCGACTTGAAAGCGCCGGCTATTTTTGTAAGTTGCCCTCTGCTAACGGACCTTGCAGGATTTTCCGGCTGCTCCAGAGGATCCTCAATCTACTCAAACAAAGGACAAGTACAATATAATTAGCAGAGCAGCAGAATATATACACCTGATATAGCATATTCCTCTTGTTATTAATATAAAGACCTACTTTGCAATGCAATTTGTACTAAAAATTAAAGCTTATATTTAGAATCGGAGGGAGTAGCATTTTGTGCTCCTAGCCATGTTTGCTTCTCATTAAAACATTAGTGTGAAATATTAGGTGCTAATAACACAATACATCGACATTTCCATCGACCGGAGAGTCTCCAGGGGACTGCATCATTGGACCATGTCATGTATTTATCCTTTGAAGTTTTGGACAGAGCTTTGTGTCAGTGCAGGAGAAAGAAAAGTAAACGTCTAATCAAAAAGGAATATTACAAATATGGCATAAGTCTTGGGCTGCCATCTCATGTTGTTGTTTATCAGTTCCCACTGTCCATTAAACGTGCAGATTCCCTCCGATTTTGCTTTGGAATCGATATCGCTAAACTGCAGAAAACATGCAAAATATGAATTAAGCAGACGGATCACCCAAAGAGACGTTGTGTGAGGAAATTGAGCTCTCATATCAAGCTTCCAACAACTAAACCATATAAAATGAATGAAATATACGCAAGAGTAACACTATAAAAAAAGCACCTTACATGATTAGAACAGTAAAAGTTATCAATATGAAGGGAAGATATAAAACCATGGAAATGATTATTTACCTTTTCTAGGAATTCGAGGAAAAGTTCAGACAAAGGCTTCTTGTTAATTTGTCTGCGTCTGTTTGATGTGAACATTTTCATGTTATTGCGACATGTTTCTTCAATAAGTTTCTCTGCATCAGCCCTAACACCTGGAAAAATTGCATCAGTGAAAAGGTCATAACCGTCTAACCATTAACAGGACACCAGAAAAAGATCAAATCATCACTTTTATTCTATGCACTGTACAAGTGAAGTGACAAGCCTAATTTACATACTTCTTTATATACAAAAATTACTGATCTCCACGAACAGAATTTCAAAGGACAAAGATAGGAGATAACTTGAGGGTGTATTTTTCAGAAGGCTCAGAAAAACCTCCATAGTTTGCATATTATGTGCAGTGTTTCCAGAATCCATCTCAATTAGAAAATGAAGTTATCATTGATGGTGCAGGGATTGACTTAAAAGGCGTTTGGAAAACTCCACAACCACTCGGAAAAAAAAAAAGAAGAACTTTTATACAAATCGAGACAAAACTCCTCTCACATCCTTACTTTATACTCCGTAAAATCACTTTTTTTAAGTGATTACGAGGGCTGCAAAACACCCCCTTAATTGTAGCTGAAGTATGTTAGTTCATACTGAAATGTATTGAAACAAATACATTAACAAAGTCATTTGCCTTTTATATTCAATTTTCGTGAGCCCCAGAGACTAGAAAAAGGAGGGACTTCAAACAACAGGGAAGGTCGCCTATGAGTCCGTGGCATGCCACTTTTTGTCATTAGAGCTGAGTGTTCATCATCACTAAATGTAAGTAAGCCCCCACCTATCTCTACAATAAATATTAATCCCCAGTCCCCCAGAACCAACATATGGTCTCGTTCATGAAATATGTGAAAAATCTCAATTTTTCAAAGTCATTACTAGAAACAAGGGCAGTGTTTAAGCAAATGCAGGGAGGGAAAGCAGCTCCAGGAGCATGTTGAATTCTTAACAATGCAATAAGTTATCTATATTTACAAAATTTTCAAATATCTTGTATACATGGACATGCCTGAACATCCAAGATAAAAGTTAATTTAGCTTCTGACAGAAAGGTTCAGCTTACACAAAAATCACTGTAAAAAAAACTGGACGAATAAAGAGAGTAATGCTACATGATCAAGATGAAAGATGTGGCGTACCTCTAAGATCATCAGCAATGTTGCCAGGGTATATATCTTTAAGTGGGGGTAAAATTGCAGGAACGCATGTCTAAAATTGACAGGAAAAAGTTGCAAGCATGAGAAGAGCAAAGATCCAATATATTAATTTTGAGAAAAATAACCGCAATAGAAACAAATTTAATGTGGATTTGGAAACTTAGTTGGCAACATATCATCACACAAAACTGGAGACCTAGGATAATGCTACTATCATTTTTCTTATCACTCTGAAACTGAAGGCACTATCACATTCACATTGTAGGAACTGTAGTTCATATGTTAGATGTAAGATAATGTACACATACGATTCTGGTCAACTGTCTGAAAATTGAACGCGAGACGTGTACTAAAACTTTCAGCTAGACAAATTCAGATTAATATTGGCATCAATAATATAGCCTTTGGGATAAGTACCTGAAAATGAAATAACACAAGCAAACTGAGGGAATAGGAGTTGAAAGTTCCAGTTTTTGAGTTATTGATCTTATGCACTTTGGCCCATTCCTTGACCTACACAAACTAGAAAGAGAAAATCAAACTGCAGCATTTCACCTCACAAAAACCGTGACGATACCACAACAAAGTACCAGTAAAACCATATCATGGAAGCGGTCATCCATCATGCTGATCCAGAGCAAAAGCTTGGACTTCATTTGACCCAGCAGGTTATCAATTGAAATATCACAAGATATACCCTGGCGGTTACTTCTAAATTTTAAAAGGGGAACCCGGGCATGCGGTATGAACTGCAAGCTGTTACATCCACCTGTAAATTATTGTTATTAAAAAAAATGAACCGAGTTGGAGGGCAAAAAGAAAAAAAGAACTGAGCAAACTAAATAAGCTTGGATATTCCATATGTTCCTTGCTGCTTTACTGTATAAAAGATGTTGTATCATTTCTGGTTACAAGCAACAAGATAGATATGGTAAGCAGATAAGCACAGAAATGCAATAAGATAGAAATCGTTTCTTCAGTTCCAGAACCTGAGTTTAACTCCCGTCCCCCTCCTCAAGCAGATAAACAGAGAAAATATGTGATGTTCAAAATGTTCAAGATTTTATAATGGGAGAAACAAATTGCCAAACAGTCAAGCTAAAAGAGAAATATGTCTTCTGAATAAAGTGACGAGAGCTCCAAGCAAAAGAAATTCACCTCTCATCCTTAATGCTCTTAGAAGATCCCCCAATAATGTTTGTTTGCGCTTTTTCCCGGCAGAAGAAATATGAGAACCATTTGATAGCACAATTGAAATATCCAAGTCACCCCATCGCGTGAAGAGATTTGACACAAATGATCCAAATGGCTCGACAGTTGCACCTGTTTTACAATAGAAATAATATAAGTACCACTAGACATGATTTCAGAACCAGTAAAAATAATTGGCCAAATAAAGGACCTGTAAAAATAGGTGTTTGGTTATTACTATAGGATATATCATATGAACTGCCTCTATATATGTATAGAATGAAAAAACTTAATTCAAAGTCTAGTACTTTCATCCATTTGTTTAGAGGGCCATAAATATTTGGTACTTGATGGAGACTTGGGCCTAAGTCCCACCATGAGAAGCATGGAATGCATTTCAAAGATATTCAAGTGAGTTGGTTCTCCCACCTCAATGGCTAGCTTTTGAGGGAGATTTTCCTATCCAATTTGAATAGCATCAATTGGTATCAACAATGGTGGCCAATGGCTTTAGAAAGGGATATTTATAAGCGGTTCTGAGTTCTAACCAACAAAGGGTGTTGATTGTTAAGGAAGTTGAGCGAAGCATCAGTAAGTGAAGTATTGTAGAATGCAACCACTTTTATAAGAGAGGGCTCCTCATCCCACTTGAGAACTCATCAATACTCAAGGAAGATAAAAAGAAGAAAATGCCGTGTTTAAAAATTATTGAATTTTGTGAACCTTACAAAACAAATATGGTATCATTTGTTTTTTTTCCTACAGATGAGGGGAGCAAACATTTTATTAAAATCCTGTATAAGTAGCAGAACCTTAATGTAGCTTAACAGATACTTCAGTACATAGAAACAACCATAACAACGACAAGTGATATGTTTGTGTTCGAAAAGCAACCTAGATTTTAGACAAGTCCCAAGAATTAGAAGACAACTGTTTATGATTCTGGTAGGCTTGATGACCAAAATATTAAGCCTCCTATTCCAGGAGAAATAAGATAAGACAACAAAAGGACCGGGATAGATCAATTTGGAATTGTTTTACTTGGGAGAGATTTTAACCTTTTTCTCCTTATTTTTCTTCAGGATTAAAATGATTGCCCTGCAAGTCCCACCCAAACAGAATGAAAAGAAAATTGAGCAGAGACAAAAATTAAAATTCACCTCTAAAGTTTTCCATAGATTCAACAACTCCGCGTAGATCCTTAATAATCTCAAGCCGTATCACCCAATCTTCTTGTAAGGGCATGATCACCTTAAGTATATCCTTCAGAACATGATCCAAGACAGGATGTTCACTCATTTTTGTCACTAAGGTGCCAAAGCAATATCAGGAGTAATGATTTGCGGCACTAAATGTAAAAGACAGAGTCACAAGGATAACTATCTATGAGGTTAAGCATCCTGTAGCATCTTGAGACAGCGCATCCTTGATAGCCATGGAAAAGCAAATATGACCTGGTAATGATGTAATTTTCATGAAGTTAAGGACTACACTCTGTAGACCTATTACACACAGCATAGAGTTAATTATATACACTAAGAATCCATAGAGCAGATACTTATGTCGCAAAGATATCAACAATATAACTAACACAGGTTGATAAGTTAGGCAAACCAATTGATGGGATTATAAAACCATTTTCTCAATTGATGATCCATAAATGTTTTCTCAGAGAAAAATATTTCGATTTCCAATGATTATTCAAACAATATTAGATATCCATAAATCAAAGTTTACAAGACCAACAACTCACACTGTAAAACATACACATCTGATCATGTTAACTCCAATTGACGGAAGGCTTGAAGCTTTCAACATAAAAATATCGACACGAAAAGGCATAATTTGGATTTCTTTTTTTCTTGGTGATACGCATAATTTGGATTTAGTGACTTATCTGTTGATGCCCTTTGTCCCAACTTTAAAGGGATGTTTGGGACCGGTTTGTCAGTTACTCCAACATAACTACCTGAGGTCATGACCTAATGGATGACAATTTATAAAATCACCAAAAAGGCACATAGGAGATGCTACGATTGTGGAAACTTTTAGATTTCCAGGTATTTGATACTACGATGTCCTACATACCAGAGTAAAATTGTTACTGAAAGAATTACTTTTCTAACAATCAGCCTCACATGTTCCATGGAATAGAAGAACTTGGAAGAAAACGCAATTCGAAGAAGACTACAGCTACAAGAATACACAGAAGAATGTTGCATATTCTCACTTCAACAATCTATTCCTCACATGCCAAGGCAAGGCTAAGGTGTGAATATAAAGCCACAAAGTCCATACCCATCCATGTAGGTTCCATGCGGTACGTCCACATCTTCAATAAGTGAATTAACACAAGACAGTCAACATCAAAATCTTGGTTGTAAAATATATGATCATGCAGACGTGCCTATAGAAATCAATTTTGGTTTTATTAAGTTTGAAATTTACTAGGGTCATGATATTGTCACAGGATCCTTCGATTGCAATCCTATCCTATTCTAGACTCTGGAGACCCGCCTATCGAGGGGAAAATTTCACAAAGCCAGTTTCCCCTCCTCCCGAACTCATTCCAATTGGCATACACCCATTTTGGCTTCTTTACACAGCACATAACAGCACATCATGTAATCCTTCCCTTCATTATGCTTGCATGCCAGCGGGCAGCAGCAGTTTTTGGGAGGAGGATAAATGATTCTAGAAGCAGTAAGTATATTTTTTGTTTTTGGAGTATTGATGTTGTCTATTGTGGAGATTTGCGAGATGAATCAATGAAAATTAGCATATAAAAGTTCAAGCAACATTTCAGAAGTCAACCCGTCTAATCTTCCACACCAACCCGACGCGTTCAAGAAAACTAAAGGACTTCACATAAATATTTCCACATTGTCGTTTCCCGACCCACGGACCAAAATCCATTAATCAATAACCACAAAGAACCGGATACACAAGCCAAATAATCAGCACCCATATTTTTTTGAAAAAAGAAAAAAGAACAAAGAAAAGAAGAAGAAGAAGAAGTAACCAGACAACAAAATAGGGAGAAAGTTGAGAGAGATGATACTGAAGAGAATGCACAATCAAGTAACTTCATCGGCATTACTCAGAATTTAGCCGCTATTGCAGGAAAATCTGACGATTCTTCATGCGGAAAAGGCCGAACAAATCAAGTGGAGCTCCTCGTACTGGCGTTGTTCTTATAATGAGTGAAAAATGAAGCAACTTTGCTAGGTGTGAGTACATAGTAACAGTGGGTATAACTTAGTCAGAGGGGTTTTCTTGCTATTGGACAGAGAGATGGGAAAGGAATGGAACTGGGTCCACACGAGCCGACGCTTTAGAATTATCAACTATCGACAGTGTTACCAAAAAGACACTAGTTTGATGGAAATTTTTATTTGAAACACGGTGGAGGGTGAAATAAACCTCTGCCAGGAGGAAATTCACCGATACAGATGGTCTCTTTCATAATTAGGGTCTGAGAAGTATAGAAGGAAACCAAAAAAAAACGAGTGAAGGCCCAAAATAATACTCTTCTTTTCTTGATATAAATCTAATTAATTAATTTAATTAGATTAAGAAATTAAGTTAGTTAGTTAGTTATAAAAAATATGAAATATTTTTTTAAAACACCATAATCATCTTTATCCTTCATTTACTTGATTATGTTAAGGAAGTATTCATAGGGGTAATTTAGGAAAAATTAAAAAATATGAAAAATAGGTTTATATTTAGGACCAAAACTAATTTAACAATTAGATTCTATATTGAGGACCGGAGGAGTAATAATATTCAATTGTAAATCAATAAATTTAAAACAATAAATATGCCGTTTAAACTTTTTTTTTAAATTTTTATTCCTAGACATAGATATCCTCCTATTGCAAGTAATCTTATTCGAGACACTATCGAGTATTAAATATAGATATCTCTTCTAATGGATATTCGAATTTTAGTTCATCACGTTGTGAAGACTAATTCATTCTACTAAATTTAACCAATATATGCTTTGCATGTAGTCTTTTTGTTGTTTTTTTTCCCCTTGAAAAGAAAGGTGATTTAACTAGTTATGTTTTACGAATAACCAATAACTACGTTTTGTGAATTGTGAATTGATTGGAAAACTATAGTTCTTATTCTTTAGTGTGAGATTATAAGTAAAGTATAATTAGAGTTAATAGTTAGGGTTAGGACATTATATTTTTTCTCTAAAAAAGATTGGGATTTGGTGTTTCTCCCCTAAATAAAGGATCGAGAGACATGACATCCCTTCTCATATAAGTTTGGCCTTTGGGGTTGAAGACTTCTCATGCAAGTTTGGTCTTTGGGGCTCAAGACAAGAATATGCCTCTTTGCTTATAAAGTGATTATGGAGAAATCTGTAAATGGTCCACTGATTAGGGTGTTTGATTTCCACCTCAAGCACTTTCAAAATTTTTTTTTAACATAAATCGAAATAAAACTCTTTTCATATATTTATTATACCGTAAAATTATTTTTAAATCATAATTTGATTTTTACTTAAACATGCCCGTAATGCCAAAGTTTATCATTTTCCAGTATCATGAAATTTACAGTTCCACCCTCCCTGGAGAATAATATCAATAGGATTGTTCTCTTTCAATCTCTTGATTGATGTCCCCTGTACTTCTTTTCTTTTTCCCCCTCAAATAAAAACTGCGTTGCACAATTGAACACGGAATATCCATTAAACATGAGGCTGGCTTGAGAAGATTTTCAATAATTCTAATCTGATTTAAGAGGAGAAAGGAGGGGTATTCTACTCTTACATATTAATTTATATTTTTCATTTATTATTATATAAATTATTTTATATCTCAATTTAAATTGCATAATTTATTAAAATTCGATATCATCCCAAATTAACAACCATTTTGCAAGTATTTATACTTTCTTTTCATTTTCAATTTGGTACCATGCGTGTTTCTCTCTTTATCAAATCATTTCACTTTGCTTTGCGCTGTTGACTGTTAACAGTGCGAACAAAGAAAAGTTACGTGGTTTCACTCAAAAAGCACAAAAACAAAAAGAAAAGTTACATGGCTAACAGTGAAATTGCATAATTTATTAGCCTAACAGTTATATTTTTCCAAGAAAAAAAAGTTAATACCATTTTTGATTCGTAAAAATTTGATCTTATTTTAGTTTTGATCCCTGAAATTTAAAGAACTTAACTAAAAATGATATTAATAGAAGAAAGAAAATGGTGGAATAACATCAAGAACATAACTTGACAACGAAAAATTGGGGAGAAAATACATGGAGGAATTGCAATGTTTGCAATAATAAGCATCAAGGAACAAAATAAGAAATGCTAATCTGAAAGTTCTGCACAAACAAAGAAGTTGAATTTTACAATTAAGTTAGATGATTGGTATCAGATGTCAAGTATCAATAAAGAAATGCTCCCGGCATACCTGCACTTCCAGAAGCTGTGAGGAAGAGAAGGGACTACTTGTAGCAATGTTTCCATGCTTCTCAAATGAGTGTGACTGTGGAGATGATCCTCATTGGGAAGATCAAAGGAAAAACCGGCATGTTTTATACACATCATGACTTCAAGCCCGGAGTAAGTGCTTATCACCAACCAAGACCCTATAACTTGCATGAGGCCCCTCGGATGTATCTCGCAATGTCACGTGCCAGCCTATTGCCCTGGCAATCTCTTGAATTTCATCCATGATGGTCAGGGAATCACGGATGTATACCCGCCCTCCAGGTCTTAGAATCCGATCCATCTCAAGCATAATTGATGAAATATTGCATCTGATGCAGTGATGTCCAAAAAGTAATAAAAATCAAACAAAGGCCACATGCTCCAAAAGGACAACTTTACTAGTTTCAGTTCATTTAGTCACTTCTATTGTACATTTTAAATGGAAAATGGAGTTCACACATTATTACACATATTGCAGCAATAGATTCCCTGGGCATAACACTGTTAAAATACAGAACACTGGCGTCCAAATAAAAAACCTCCAAGGTGCAGACAGGTGAGTAAAACGGATTGGACATCCTCAGCACATCACTTCGCAAGGGGAAGACATTGAAATAGAGCAGCAAAGAAACTAAGAATGCTTCCTAAGGAGATGAAAAATACAAGGAAAGAAGGGCTTAAAGTCCCCCCAACTCACTGTAACACCATTTTCTAAGTTGAGCTATAATACTTTGAACATGGACTCTTGTATTTTTGGAACAGGACCCAGATAGGCAAAAAACAATTGTTATCAACCAGAAGAGAGATCACAGCAGTAACAGGCAGAGAAAGAGGTACCTTTTTCTCTCAATAGAAAGCAGGTTTGCTGCATGCAGTAAATCATACGTTCTGGGATACGTGTCAAATGGCTCGCACCTGAATCACATTCGGTGAACAAAAGACATTATTTGGAATGGGATTCGTCGCACAGGATTTCCAAAGTGACACAGACAAGTAAAATAGTACTCCTCCGATCCTTAATATAGGACCTAATTGTTAAATTGATTTTGATCCTAGATATAAGACCTATTTCTCATATTTATCAATTTTTCCTAAATTCCCATATGGATACTCCCTCAACCATAATCAAGTAGAAGAGGGAGAGGAGATATTAAAGAAGATGATTATGGTGTTTTAGACAAAACATGTCACATTTCTTATAACTAACCGACTTGCCTAACTTCCTTAATCTAATTAAATTAGTTAAATAGATCTTATATTAAGGACCGGAGGAGTACAAGATATCTAGTGAGTGAAATTAAGAAAAGTCCACACAACAATGATAATAATTAACATATGATTTAGATTAAATTACTTTAGAAACATACCAGTCATGCATAACTCCAATCAACCCACGGTCATATATAACAGGCAAGGTGTTTGGGCCACTAGCAGGAACAACATTCATAACCCAACTGTCGAACTTATGATCAATTAACGCAGCCGCAAATCTGTAAAACACACAATTAAGAAGAAGAGATTAATTAGAAAGTCACACCCATATGCACACACTAATTTCAAGTGCATAGATACGATAGAGACCCTACCCTCCAAAACCAGCTTTCATGTCCATCACATTTCTTAATCTCATCTTCTTCCAGTGTAATGCACGAACATAGCCTCCTATTATATCATTCCAGTATTTTGTTTCTGCCACGAAGAGCTCTTTTCTGGATATGAAGGCATCAAATTTTATACTTTGAAGCCTATTAGGTGGAGTTTGCAAGCGTGCAGGCCACCTTGTGACGTTTGCTCTGTATCCATTTTCAGGCAATCGAGAGATGCATGCTTTAAGATTTACATACCTAAATTAATCATGCAAATAACAAATTCACCAATATTGACCGAGCAAGATGATAAGATAAGAATGTCTAAAACAGCTAACCTGAGGTTTGGTCGAAAAATTCTAAATCGCTAACATAGAACTAACTCCATGATTTTATTTTTGCTTTATGTTAAAGGTAGGATCGTTTCAAAAAATGGGACCATCCCAAACGCCCCTCTCGGTTTAAAGTTTCATAAACAAACACCCCCGGCATACATTTTCACTGGATACACAACCCCGTCCAAACATCCTCTCCTACAGGTAAAAAGACAGGTACAATGTGGGTATCAATTAGCTTTAAAATATAGAATTAAGGAATTTAATGTTGAACCATCACTGCACTTAAGGCATCTCATGTGAGATTTTCCTTTTTCACATTTTCTTTTCTTTCTGTTCGGTTTCATTTTACCCCTTATAATGATGAAGGGAGAACAGAGAAGCTTGTGTATACCTTAGATGCATGATTCAATAATTATCCTAAAATGGTTACTGAAAAGGCATCTTACAGTAGTCAAAGTGCAATCCTATGAGAAGACAGAACATAGATGCTTACTTTATCAACATCATCCACCATATACACAGTCCTTATATTAGTCCTAGTATAGCTCAAATTTAATGGCTTCCACAAATTTAACTGAATCCAAAGGCAGTTTCAAATTTCAACATCAATGAAGGAACTATTCTACTTCATTGGGCGATTTCAATTTACATATAACCAAAACCTAGCTTCTTTAGTTAACTGACTTCGTCTTGGAAAGCTCTACATTTTCAGATAAATTTATGTATTGTTTGTCACAGTAGCCATAATTGGATAAAAACATCATATTCTCAAATCTAGATCAGGAAAGCAAGGACACTATACCAAACATCGTCAGGGTCATCACTTGGATCACACAGTGGAGGATTAGTTCCTGCCTCACGGTTTAGATAGCAGCTGTTGTCAGAAGGTTTCTGCCATATTGCAATATATCCATCTTTTTTCAGAAACTTCCAGCAGAGACGAGTTGTAAGATTAAGCATCTCTGAAGATACATATTCCAGTGTTACATACATCGTAGATGTAGACAATTATATATATACATATAAGTCAGCGCATTACAAACAGATTAAATCCTTAAAGGATGATCACGGGAGCCAATCTGACATCATAACAGTTTAAGATACTTCTCAGACACGTCTGAGGTCATGCCATTCAAAGAATATTAAAGCTAAATGAATTTGCAAAGAAACATATCATGTGCAGACGGTCAGCGTCATTGCTTTTGAATAGCATGAATTGTTAAGGAGAAGTCCAGGTCCATTTAGCGATTACTAAAGATTATTTGTTGATTCTGTCTGATGTTCTCAGAAACTGAAGGAAAACAAGGTAACAAACAACATGATCTACGTTTTACACCCAAAAATGCCAATATTAACAGAAAAACTCGTGACATGTGGTCTTCAACTGCTTACATTTTTACTCTTTCAGGCATTCCAAAGGTTTAAAAAAACAATTTGATGCACAAATAATGTCAGAAAATGTTAATGTTAATGAAAATGAGCAAAGTTGAGCAATTCAACTAGCAAACCCTACAGATACTGCTGAAAGCCTTCAATAAATTCAATCTCATAGAAATTCCTTACACTCTTACCATCCCATTGTTCTTCCAAAATTTCCTCATGCTTGTAAACTGGCTGGGCAGCCCAGACAAAGTACCCTCCTGCCCTTAGCATCCTATTAACTTCAATTAGCCACATCCCATCTTCATAACAAGTAATAAAGAGAAGGCCCATTAGAAGAAATTCCAACAGAGCAACTAACAAAAGGATGGAAGGAATAAATGAGTTTAGATATATACTTCATACAACAAACAAGTGAAAAACCTATTTTTCTGTTCATTAACAGAGTAATGTGGGGTTCAGAAGATGCTGAATGTGCGTTTAAAATTTAGCAGTTTTGTTTTGTCCAACAGTAGCACATCTAAAAGGAATAAGCTCAAGCTTCAAGAAAGTGACCGTAGTAACTAAAAGATAACATGAAGAGATAAGTTTCAAGCATCATAAAAGAACACTGTAATAGTAAATTAATAATGCTTATTCTGCAAGAATTGATAATTCCAACTTCCTATCTTTAGTTCGGTTAGCTGTTCTGTATTTCTTTTGCCTTATCATTTTTCTCCCCATTATCACCAAGGACCGCCAGCAATTACATAAGAAAGAAGAAGAATATACCATCGCGAGTCCAATTGATTCTACAGCGCGAACAATGTATCAGGTCAAAAGCTTGACTAGGATATAATAAACGTCTAGTTGCAAATGCTGCCACCATTGCAGGCACATGGCGCTCAAGAGCAAATTGGATCTGATTTTCATGGACGTCTTTGGGAGCAATAGACAAAGTGAGTACATCTCGTGATAATAAGTACGCACCAAAACTGGCTACACCACAGCCAGCATCTAAAACAACCCTTGTATTCTGACCAAATGCGATTTCAGGAATCATCTAAACATCACGATAGATAACATCAGAAAAATCAAGAAATATATCTATTCTGCAGAACAAGTCAAATCTAAGCATATCAGTACCCTGGAAATATGATCCAAGTATTCATCTGCTCCATGTATGAATTGTGTACCACCTCCTGGAAATTTAAACTTATCTTTGTCTCTGGAAATCCAGTTTTGACCCCCTTTATCCTCAACAAGACGAGTGTGAGGAACATTGCTGTACCATACCTATAAACAAGAAGACAAGAAACAGGGAAAAGTTGCGAAATAAATCAATTAGCCATCAGAATTTCTTATCACTAAATTTTAGTGTGGATCTAACTAGCGCGAATAGAAAATAGTCATGTTCTGACTTTTTTTGGCTCGAAAACCAGACCATATGTCACTCTATCAATAACAAAAGAACAGTGGATTTTCATGACTTCCTGCCATTGAATAGCAACGAATTGTTACGCAGAATACCTCATCTCGACTTTTCGGCCATGGAATTGGGTTACGGTATCCTTTAGGCGCCGGAACCAAGCAATTCAATGCTCGATCCTTCTCAGGACAATGCCTCTCGAACCTTTCACCCCTTTCCGTCGACTTTAGCTTCTGAATTGCCTCTCTATTATCTAGGCAAGGTATATACTCACTCATGCTCCGCGGACATAACCCAAACTTCTTTATCGTGAATTGGGGAGCAGACGCAGACCTCTCCTCCGTTTCAACTTGAGTCTCATTGACCCAACTATCAACCAGCTCCGGATCGAAGTCCCCAACCTCGAAGTCATCAGACATCGTTCCATTCTCGTTGAGGATCCCGAATGTCCGAATCGAAGCCGGTGGCGGTGGAGGGGGAGCCTGGGGTGGCACATGGGGCACTGCTGCTAGGGTTTTCTCCGGCTGTGATTGAGTCTCATTCTGACCAATGAGGGCAGAGATATTGAAGAATTTGTTGTAATTCGGGGACGTAGCAACCGTAGGCTCCTGACTCGTAGAGGTGAAGAAGACGAGTTGCTGGGATCCTTCCGACCAGTGCTTGCCTAAGAAAAAGAAAGTGACGGTCACGAAGAAGAAAGCAACGATCTTAAGGAAAGCGGGTGTTCTGAACAAATCGCCATTGATAGGGGGTTTCATATCTGGATTGGAACGCAAAGACCTTGAGTTTCTCCAGAAATGTCTCCTCCTCCAATGGGTCGAAGAAGATGATGGAAGAGAAGAGAAGACTGCTAGTTGCTTGAATAAGAGTGAGACTAGAAGGGCGTCATGGTTATCAGTAATTGCAGACTTTGACGAAGCTGTGAATTGGCGCGGCCATGTCGGCAGGCGAGGTGATTAACGGAATATCCTTCTCTCTGGTTTTTTTTTTCCCCCTTTTTTCTTTTTGCCAGCCATTAACGGAATATCTACTGAGTACGAGCACTTAAAATGAATAATTTGTTTACTTTCTAATTCTGATCCTAACTTTAAGTTATTTTGATTTACTGATATTTAATTTTAATTAATTTAAAGGAACAACAATCTTATTCAGTTATTCTTACCGTGACAATCCTTATTGCAAGAGATTCCTCATTCCTGTGTAATCAATTTTTTTTGCCAACCATTCCCGTGTAATTAAGGTTTGTTTGGTTTTTTTAATTTTAAAAATAGTTATTGGTAATTCATTTTAATCATATTAAAAAATCAAAAAACAATAATATTTTTTAAAAACTAAAAAATGAAACAGTTTTTAATTTTTTTTGTTTTGAAATTTTGGAATAACATTTTGCTCCCTTCACTCACTGCCCAACAAGTATCATCGCCACAATGACTACTACTTGCCAAATATAATTTTTTTTATTTTTTTCAATTATAATTTTTTAAATAATTATTTAAGGATTTTTCTCAAAAAATTTTTAAAAAAATAATTTTATAAAATTGTTCTGAAAATAAGGGAAAAAACATAAACCACCAAGCCCTAATATTTTTTAAGTTATGTTGAGTTCAAAAATGTGGACTTGTAAATTCTATAGGCAAAAACAATAATAGTAGTAATAATAAGGGAAAAGTAATTTGGAAGTCTTTATAGTTTTCTTTAATTTTGAATTAGGTCCCTACACTTTTTTTCCTTTTTATCGACTCCTTAAACTTTTCACTGTTAGACATGTCAATCCTTATTGTTAAATAAATGCTAATATCATTAAATATGTCTGTTAAAACGCCTAAAGCATTTGCTTTTATCTCATTCCACTCCTTCACTCATGCCTTAGTATCTTCTCCTTCACCATTCAACATTATCGCTATTTGGAACCTCCGGTATTTGAGCTATATCTATTTTTCTGGTCAATAACAAAGTTGTTCGGTCTTCTATTCTCATTGTTTGCTCTTTATTGCTCGTGAAAGGGCCATTGATTCTGGGCAACACTTTGTATATATATTGATAGTAGGTTAGTTGCTAATGAAGAAAAAGCCTGGCACTAGTTTCCTAAGCATTTCAACCCAACACTATTGTGCTGATGTTACCCAAGTGACGAACACTGTCAAGGCCCAGGATAAGGAGACATGGGTTCATGTTCAAGGCTTGCTTTGCTAGAGCATCTGCCATGAAGTTGTCCTCTCTAGCCATAAGCTGGCAGTCAAGCTTCTAATACCGTAAGATCATCCCTTTTATCTCCTCAATAAGGGACCAGTCCTCGTGCATCTCTAGGGTAGCACTCTTCATCAGTTGAAAAGCATCATGAGTCAGTCTTTAGTATCACATCCCTGAATCCCCAATCCCATACCCGTTTTATTCTGAAAAGACAGCCTCATAACTCCGCAGAGAGGGTATCACCTGTTTGCAGGTGAGAGACGAAGCCTTCAATGATGTTTCTGTTGTTATCCATTAGGACTCCCCCACATGCTGCTGCGTTGTTCACGTAGGAGTAGGCGCCATCCACTTCTATAACAGTACTGCCTTCCGTGATAGGATCAGGAAACACTATTAGAGTTCTTTGGTTCTTCTCTAGCACCATTGAGCTTGCGAGAAGCTTTATTCATGCAGTCTAGAATTGCGGTCGCATGGTTCGGGATTTTGGTTGTTTTCACTAGTTTTGTTTGCATGCAATAGTTTATTGCGGTTGTGCCAGATTAGCCAACACGTAGTGACAAACAAGCACTTCCAGTATCCCTTGGCTCCTTTCACGTTAAGCTTTAGATTAAGTCGAAACTAGTCCTGCATGGATGTTGTTCAGAAACGTTGATGGTATTTGTTCTCAATAATTGATTCCCACAACGTTTTAACCTTCGAGCAGTCTCTTAGAGCGGGGAGCACATTTTCTGAGTAGTTGTTACATCGGATACAGACACCGCTAGTATGCAGGCCTTGTTTGTATTTCTCTTCATTTGTGAGGAGGCGTTTGTGTAGCATCAACCAGGAAAAAGTTTTGCATCGTTGGGGAATATTGAGTTTCCACACGTCCTTCCAGCTCCCAGTAGGAATATTTTCGTTGGTGTTGAGGATTTGATAAGCAATCGGACAGAGAATTCTCCACTCTTTTCCCATTTCCATCTTGCTCTTTCTGTTCCGCGATGGTCATTGGCAATCTGAATACCATCCTTGACTTTATTCCACACTTGTTTAATCCCGCTCCATGTGTTTAAGCTAGGCTTCTTTGTATTTATTTGAGGCAAGAGGTCATTACCACACCCATATTTTGCTCTAAAAACTCTGACCCAGAGTGAGTTGCAGTTGTTCACCAAGCCCCAACCAAGTTTCATCATAAATGCTTTGTTCTGTTGCCAGATATGCCTCATGCCCAGCCCTCCTAGCTGCTTCTCACTACAGACTTTATCCCACGAAATGAGGTGCATGCATTGTTTTTTATCGGAGGAGCCCCATAGGAAATTTCTTGAGTGTTGTTCGATCTTCTCACACACAGGGTGCGGTAAATTCACTGTTTGCATGGTGTAGGATGGAATGGCCGAGATCACGGATTTGATTAAAGTGTTGTGTCTTGTTAAGGAGGTTCTAGAAACCTTCCAATTGTTGAGTCTGCTTCGGATCTTGTCAAGGAGGAACTGGTAAGTGTTTGAATTGACCCGCTCGTGATGCAAAGAGATGCCTAGGTATTTTCCTAGGTTCGTTGTGCTAGAGAAGCCAAGAGCCTCACTCATCTGCGACGTTCTCGTGTGATTAATGTTTACTGAGAAGAAGACCTTGTTTTTACTGGCGTTGACATGCTGAGTAGAAAGCATCCAAGCAGTTCTTGACTACCTCGACTTGGTCCATGGTCGCTTCTGCAAAAAGCATCAAATCATCAACAAAAAAACAAATGAGAGATGGGGGGACCATGCTTACCTAATTTTATTGGTTTCCATTTTTTTGAGAGCACTTCTTCTTGGATAAAGTGTGCTAGTTTCTCTATGCAAATGACAAAGAGATATGGGAAAATCAGATCTCCTTGTCTCAAGCCTTGTGTCAGTAAGAATTCTTTTGCTTTGCTTCCCTCCCAAAGGATTTGCATTGTCGGTGAGGATATGCATGCTTGGATCACCTCACGCATCCCGGCTGGGATGTCCATCTCTTGAAGGCATCTCATGAAAAAGTCCCTGTGGATTCTGTCGTAAGCTTTTTCTAGGTCAATTTTGATAGCCATGAAGCTTTTTTTTCCCTTCATGTGTTTCATTGAGTGAATCACTTCTTGCGCCACTATAATGTTATTAGAACTGTTACGTCCTGGGACAAAACTATACTGGTTGGGGGAGATGACCTGAGGCAAACAACAGTTCAAACGATTAGCAATAATCTTCGTAATAATTTTATAAATAACATTACATAAGCTAATAGGGCGAAAATCCCAAAGAGTCTCCGGGTTCTCCCTTTTAGGAATGAGGACGATAAAGGTGTGATTCAATTCCCGAATGTTTGTAGGATCAGCAAAGCATCTGTTGACAGCTCTGGTAACAGTAGGGCTCAAAATGTTCCATTGGTGTTGGAAGAAGAGAGCATTCTAGCCATCGGGACCAAGGGATTTGAGAGCCCCCATATCAAAGACAACAGACTTAATTTCATTAGCGGTTATTTCCTTGCTCATTTTCGTAGTCATAGAGGGATCAAAGTTGTGGATAAGACAAAGCATAATCTTTTGAGGGAGAGCTTTGACTATCATCTTTGAATAGATTGATAAAAAATTCAGTAGTCAAGCTCTTGATTTCCTCGGGGTCTTCAACCCAATCACCTGCTTCATTCTGTATGGCCTCAATCTTGTTCCTCTTTCTACTTCTATTAGCTCGCGCATAGTAGTATTTTGTGTTCTTATCCCCCAAAGTGAACCAAGAGACTTTTGCTTTCTCGGCCCAAAGAAGGTTTTCCTGGATGAGTGTGTCCTCCAATTCCAAACACAAATTTCATTGGAGACTTTCTAGATCAGAGGAATAGCCAAATTTTTTCATGCTCTTATCAATGCCTTCCAGTCACCCTATGATTTGGTTTCCTTTCCTCCCTAGGTGGCCATACACATCAAAACTCCATTTGTTTACCTCTTTCGTGAACACCTGTATGTTTTCTTGCCAGCTTGTATTGGGGTTCCAAACCTCCTTCATAAAGCGGGGGAAGTCGTCGTGAAGAGTCCAAGACGCGATAAACCAAAAGGGGCAAGTTCTTGAAGTTCTTGTTCTCTACGGGATCATGTGAAAAATGTAACATCCTAAGTTTTTATCGGGTTTAATAGCCTCTTTTGGGTTGATTTTGAGGATAGATTAGTGATTTAATCTTGATCTTGGTGTTTAGGTTGGATTTGAGGTTGGTTGGAGGAATAGGTGAACGTACCCCTCTCAGGGTATGTTCGCCGCGGTGAAGTTTACTTCGCCGCGGCGAACCGGGGGTTTCAGAGGGGAGTGTCTTCTCGGGAAGGTTTGGCCGCGGCGAAGTCTTGGGGACACCGCGGCGAAGTTGTTTTGGTGAGCGAGGCTTCCCTTTCGGGAAGGTTTCGCCGCGGCGAAGGTAAGGGCACGCCGCGGCGAAGTTCTTCTGGGCGAGTGAGAGTTTCCTCTCGGGAAGCTTTCGCCGCGGCGAAGTTTGGAGTTCGCCGCGGCGAAGTCGGTTTTTCAGGCGAGTAATCCCTCTCGGGATTAGTTCTGCGCGGCGAAGATGGAGTTCGCCGCGGCGAAAGGTCGCGATTCTATATAATCGCTGGAGGGTTCAGATGTGCGAAAATTGGAAAATCTGAAGGAGGAGAGAGAAGCTCTGCTAGGGTTTCGTGGAGGAGGCTTGAGAAAGGCATTTCTAAGGATCCATTACCTCAAGTAAGTGATTTTAACCTCTAATCTTCTTTCTTTCTTGGAATTTCTTGGAAATTTCTGAGGATTTTT